CTCCCACATTCCCCTCAAGTCAGGTAATGGAACAAGGACTTTAAGGTCAACCAAGCCCGCTTGAGGGCACAGTGACAGTCCACATACTGCGGACCTTCGCTCCGTAGTCTGGATACAGGCACTGGCCCCAGGACCCCAGGCCACCTGGTCTGTGAGCAGTCAGTCTAAGGGGAGCCTTTTGCAATGTCGGAGGTGGAGCTCCCACAGAATCCGCTCTCCCAGACCCCAAGCACATCTTTTCATGGAGAAGTCTGGCTTCATATATGTGTGGGTGTGGTAACAAGCCCGGTCATAACCAGGCTCCACTGAACCTAAAGTAACAATAAGGGGAGGAAACGTGGGGTATTTGGAGGGAATAGAGATTTCTGGAGTCATCAGCCCAGTGACCAAGGATGCTGTGTGTTCCAGAGGCTGTAGACTCCTAAGCAGTTCCCACAATTCATGATCCTTCTGGAAAATATCATTGTGCTTGGAAGGAAGGAGGGATCAAAGGTTTGTATGTGGGGGCAGCGATTAATGACCGAGGGAGCTTCCAGCTCAGTTCAGCCTCCTCCAAGCAGCGAGGGTGAGCCATAAAGAGAGTTTGCTTTTTGGATGAATAGGAAAGTTAATTGTTTGAGTAAGTTACCCAGCTCGCATTTTCAATTGCAGGTGCCCCACGCCTGGCTGCGACGGTTCTGGACACATCACGGGCAATTATGCTTCTCATCGAAGGTATGTAGAGACACTGTCCCCCTCCTCAAACCGTTCTTACTCCTCCAAGCAGCAGCCCCTCCCTGCCTGGGCTCGAGCGCGTGCTGGGTCTGACTCCACTGGTGAGATCCCTGATCTGGAGACTCTCAGTGCCATAGGGCAGTGCTGCCCTCGCGGGACCCTGCAAAGAAAGCAAACTTCCACTTTCCAGCACCAACCGCTCCTCCCGTGACATCTCACTTGTATCGCAAGTGGCTCCACTGAGAGACATGTCTAAAGCCGTCTGGCAGTACCTCTTTCTAAATTGAAAGAGTAAAGGAAAAGCATTATCTCTAGAATATTAAAAGATGCCTGAGAGCAGCCATTCAGCAGCAAGCGTTCTAATACCACTGAGAGCTGATCTCTTAAATATTGAGATTTGAGCACAAAGCTGCGTGTTACTATAAGCAGGGATGAGCAGGGCTGAAAGCCTCAGAAGTGCTTAACCTCACAAAGTCTCGGTACTGTCACTCCCAAGGAGAGGGCAGCGTATGAAACGCGGCATAGAGACTCAGTCATGTGCGATGACGAAAAGACTATGCTTCCTGGCATTCAGTGAATACCGTATGAATGTCTATTTTATGGCAGATTCTATGATAGAAGAGAACCGAAAGGAACATTTGGTATTATTTTAAAAATTACCCAAGCCCCTGTTAAAGATGTGAGGAAGACTTCATTCGAAGAACTGCTGCAACAGGGTCCCGCAGTGGGGCAGAGAGATTGGACTCAACTCTGACTCCAACAGGACAAGTGGGGATTTATAGCCAAGGAGCAGGGTTGGGGGTCAGTGGATAGAAACTTACTGAGGAGACACTGAGGATGGGGGTTTCTGGCCTGACTTGATACGATTATTGCCGAAGGCAGGAGGGCGTGATAAGTCATCCAGGGTGGTCAGACTCCAGGGGCGGGGGGTTTTTGCTAAACTGACTTAGCAGGATTCTTGACCAGACTGGATTCTACAAGGACAGAGAGGGAAGCCCAAGGCAAGGCCTGGGCAGATGGAGGACTCCGAGGAGGCTGATGAGAGTTTGGTCAAGGAGAGAGTCTTCGTCAGCTCGTTGATCACAGAAAGGTGGATCTACCACATGCAGCTTAGTTAGCTCCCATGCCCTGGTGAGGAAGAGAGTGTTTCTGCACCAAGACCGACTTACAGTGACGTCTCCCACGACGGAAAACGGTGCCGCGTCTATGAAATAAACCACGCCACAGGACATGTGCTGCCTTTCCTCTCTCTAAATTTCAGATTATGAAATGGGCAGTTCAAATGCAGATGCTCTCTTCTGCTTTAAGCACTTCTCCCACAAGGAAAGATAAAAGAAAGAAGGAAAGTGAGGACAGNAAGGCCTGGGCAGATGGAGGACTTGGAGGAGGCTGATGAGAGTTTGGTCAAGGAGAGAGTCTTCGTCAGCTTGTTGATCACAGAAAGGTGGATCTACCACATGCAGCTTAGTTAGCTCCCATGCCCTGGTGAGGAAGAGAGTGTTTCTGCACCAAGACTGACTTACAGTGACGTCTCCCACGACGGAAAACGGTGCCGCGTCTATGAAATAAACCAAGCCACAGGACATGTGCTGCCTTTCCTCTCTCTAAATTTCAGATTATGAAATGGGCAGTTCAAATGCAGATGCTCTCTTCTGCTTTAAGCACTTCTCCCACAAGGAAAGATAAAAGAAAGAAGGAAAGTGAGGACAGTGAAAGCAAGTGTCTCTGCAGGTGACAGCTCCCACACCCCCCAGGGCCAGGGTGTCTGCACAAGTGGAGCAGTGACAGCCAACTGCCCAAGCTGTGTGGCCACCTGGTGACCAGACCCCGGTGGTCAGAGTGGGGGACCCTCACCCGGCTCCCCAGCGGGGTTTGGACAGGACTCACCCAGGGATTGCTTGGTCATTAAGATCCTACTGGAAGTATCATGTTCTTGCATTCATTGTCCAACCACTGGGAGCAATGCTCACACAACGCATGTCACCACATGGGAAGCACACTCTGTGGATGCCACCAAGGAGAGCAGAAGTGTGACATTTAGGGGGATTGTTCATTCTCAAAGAAACCATCTCATTCTCTTGATCAGGGTGTCTCAACCTCAGCACTGTTGGCATTTGGGGCAGATGATTCTCTTCTGTGGGGACGTCCTGTGCACTGTAGGACGTCGAGCAGCATGCTGGCCCACGCATTTGTGACAGCCAAAGATGTCTCCAGACATTGGTGAATGTCCCCTGCAGGGCCACTGCCGTAGACGGGGGTCAGGAGAGGTCGCATCGCGTTGACCTGGCTTCTCCAGGCGGTACTGAGCCAGCTGCTTGAATGTCGAGCAAGAGCTGGTGGCTCCTTCCAGAAAGGGGGCCAGAGCAGCGACTGGTTCACATCAAACAAACTTAAGAAAAAATGAATAAAAGATAAAACCCTCCAGTCAATTGTGAAAAGTCGAGTGCATTCTATACTAGTTTTTATTTTATCTTAGGAAAAATGTCTCAGTCCTCACATGGACAGAACTTCCAGCATTTTCTAATGTCCACACGAGTGAAAGTGAGCATTTCCTGGTCATTTCATGTCCAAATATCTGTTTTTCTACTAATGTTTTCTTTTTGGTTTGGCATCATGCAAATTTAGTCATAATTTAGTTTAAAAGTGACGCTCCCACTGCCGGTTCGGATCCTATATAGGAACGGCCGGTGCGCTCGCTGGCTGAGCGTGGTGCAGGTGGCACCACACCAAGGGTTGCGATCCCCTTACCGGTCACAAAAAAGACAAAAAAAAAAAAAGTAAAATAAAAAATAAACATTTGTATTTGTTTCACTTACATCTTAGAACGTTAGGTACTAATATAGCACAAACCTGTGATTGAAATATAATTTAAGTTTAAATTTAAACTATGACCTATGCCTGGAGTAAATAATTCCAGGGTTAATCAGTGGAGTTGGAAAGTAAATTTCGTTTCGTTTTTGGCAAGTTTGAGTACTGTGTACAAGCCCTGTAAAGTTTTAGCAGGATGAAAGTACAGTACCTCTGGTGGTGTTTCTTTCCCTTGTGTAGGCATTTAAATGGAGTTGGACACTCTGTTAATCAAAAGTGTTGCATTCAGTTCTTATGTAAATTAGCCACTAAAGAAAGACTGAGGCCTACAGTTAAACACATTTTATGTAAATTGGCCACTAAAGACAGACAAAAGCCAACAGTTAAATAAGCCAACTTCAGATTGTTTGATTCTTCCTGACTTTTTTTTTTTTGGCAGCTGGCTGGTAGGGGATCCGAACCCTTGACCTTGGTGCTATAACACCATGCTCTAATCAACTGAGCGAACCAGCCAGCCCTGGTTCATTGGTTCTTGATGGCATAAATACAAGAAGAAACACTGCGTTCAGTGTTAATCTGCTACTGTCCATTTCCCAGGAACATGAGATAATGTTACTGTCTACTGAAATTAAGGCTGTTGAGGCAAAAATAATTTTGTAAAGTTTATTGGGAAGCCAAATGTGAGGATGGACCTGGGAAATACATCAGAGAGACAGAGAAGTGCCTGAAGTCTAGTAGGAACAACAAAGCCTTTATAGACAGAAAAGGCTGAGGAAAGCAGAAACAAAGAGCAGAAAGTGGGTTGGTCATTTCAAAGTCATTTTCCTTATACGGTAGGGACAGGGAGACAGAACAGTAGCAAACTAACTGATCAGTTAACATCAGGTTGCTTCAGGCTGTCCTTTTCACTAGGACTAAGTATTGTCGCACCTACTGTAGATTTAAGCTGGCCAGTTCAGTAAGTTGTCTGTCACCTCTTTCTCAGACGGTCAGACCGCGGCCCGAGTGACGTGAACTTTAGCAGGAGTGACTCCACTCTGATCTGTACTGTGGTCCTTTGGGGTCCAGAGCAGAAACTTACTCAAAAACAATGGCTTCCTGTACTTTTATTTAACATCGTCTAAATGCAAACTATAGAGGAAACTTTATTTAGACAGTGATTCACTGGCCTTTTACTTTTCCGGTGGTGCCACGATTCAAGTTGGTCATATGAGCTCTATGCACCTTCATGGCCCTGTACAGGCCATCGTGAGAAAAGAAGTCACAGAATCATGATCCTCGGCACACTTAGGGTCACAGATCCATCCTGAGCATGCGTGGTATTTGTGGAACGTCTCCCTCCTGTTCCCAGGACAGATGCGCACATTCAGATTCTGTCCAGTTACAGGACGTCCACTCCTGCTGACTTTAACTGTCGCACGGGCTGTGAGTGTGGGGCCAGCACCAGCGTCCTCCTGCGTGCTGCTCTGGGAGTTGAAGGAAGTGTGGTTTGTCTGTCCTCCTCCGGCCACGCTGAGCACCAGGAAGCAATCCCGTTTCTTTTTGAATTGGAGGAAACCAAGGGGTTAAGTAGCAGAGATGGGATGCGAGCCACAGACCCACGTGCCCAGGATGGCCACGGGAGAGGGGCACCCAGGCCCTGGAGGTGGGGCCTGCCTTGTCCTTGCTCTCGTTTTACTGGTGGTGTGTTCTTCTGGTCTCTACATAACATCTGAACCTTTCCTAAGTTCGTTTTAACAAAGATTCGACTGTGATGTTCACTGAAAGCTTTGCTCTGCCTGCCGTCTGCAGTGAAGAGAGGAACCTTGTTTACTGACCTGCCTAGAAAGGTGTTCACTTAGTTCACTGTCAATATCAGGGTTTGTTGTTTTTCAACAAACAAAATGTTTCTTAAGGTTTTCCTCAAAGATCCTATTTTCCAGGCATCTTTCTACTTTCCTCTGACCCTTCATTGGGGCTATCTTTTCCTTCTGCAGTTTCCAGGCATGCTGGCCAGAGACCTCTCAGCACGCCTACGGACAGGTTTACTCTCATTTTCCCTGATCCAGTTCCATGCAGAAGTCATGTCTGTATTTTCCACAAATGATTTGTGCTGTAGGAGTCCGAATCTTGCAGGAACATGCCAATGGTCTTACTGAGCAACCACACCCTGTGGCAATCTGAACGGCTTCTAACAACGAAAGAGTAAACTTACCTAAGCACAAACTATGCACCAGGAGCTGCAGTGAGCGTCTCACATGTGTGATCTCCTTGTCCTATGAGATTGTTGTTATCCTAATTGGGAATGAGGAACCGGGGGGTGGGGGGGGCACGAGATCCCACCTCCTGGCCCTGTCAGCTCCGTGTTCTCCTGGGCATGTGCAGTCACTCTTTCATGACCATGTGCAGACTCTCAGTCCCCAGGATGGCAGCCGAGGGCCTGACAGTGTCTGTCAACTCAGGTCCCATGTGCTTTGGGGAGTCCAAGCAATGAACCCAAAGCCTTTCCTGCTGCGAACTGCAGGAATCACCAGGTCCTGAGGAAGACAGTGGAGAAGCCAGGCTTGAGGACACCAAAATTAGAAGCAAGTCTCCCTTCGAGGGTCTTGGGCCCTGGTCACAAAATTAGATGTTAGTCCTTACCAGGGAGCCTCTGGAACCTATCAGCAGGTCCACTGTCACACAGGCCGCAGGCCTGCTCAGCAGAGGGTCAGCTGAGTGCTTCCTTTGTCCTGGGTCTCCTGGTGCTATGACCAGCCTGGCACCACGTATGGTCTGGAGCTGAACCTTGAAGGGTGGGAAGGGTTTTCATGAGGTCATAGGGAAAAAGATATTCCAAGCAAAGGAACGGCGTTATAAAACATGTTATAACAGCAACAAATCAATGGACACTGACAGTCAGTGATTCAGTTTGGTAGAGTTTGGTTGTCAGTATGTGGGAGTGGCTGCAGATGGAACGCATTTCAGGAGTCTTGTTAAATTCAGTATAAGAGGTTTAATTAAACCTTGTTCTCTAGAAAATAAGGAGTCACCCGTGTGAGGGTTGCAGGGTGGGCTAGAGAATGTGCTGCTGAGACAGGGCCAGCGTCTGAACGCCCGCCTTGCAGGAGACGGCGCTCCCTGGGAGACTCGGCGCAGGTGACGGAGGCAGTGATGAGCTGCACGAGCAGGTCTGCTGTGGGAGAGCCCACGGGGGAGAAGCAGGGACTCAGAAGGGCGGCGTACGGGGCCGGAGTGCCCGCGGCCAGGTTGGACAAGCCGTGAACGGTGACATCACCGTCTGAGACGGGGAAGCCGCCAGGTAAAGTGGGGATTAAATTCTGTTTAAACCCACCGACTTTGAGATTCTCACGGTACATCCAGGCCAGCAAGGAGGAGGGTAAGAGGAGAAGCCACGCTTTCGGGGTCACCA